AGCGATTCCTTGTATGGTTCTCTCTGCATCAGCTGAAAGCCGACTTCCTCTCCCTCCCGCCATATTTCAGCGTCTGCAGAGAGAGCCATACAGGGGATTGGTTCCAGTAATTGCCCCCCTGCCTCACCCATCACCGTCCTGTGCACCAAAAATCCCCCCCCCCCCCCCCCCGCAGTGCTGCCGGCCTCCCTCCTCTCCTTCCCACCGGCAGCTGCAAGCACACGATAGGATCCTTCAGGATGGACAGTGGGGGAAGGGTCCTGTAAATATGTCACATTTACCAGCCCCTTCCTTTTCTGAATGAACACGAGTGATTGTTACCAGTAACCCACTGTGTTCATTCATAACTGAAGCATAGTAAACTGTGATTATTGGGGGGGGGGGGGGCTTTCAGGTTGGGTGTATGGGGCCCTGTGGCTTCTAATTGCAGCCCTGCAAACAGGGAACTGATATTCTGTAAAATTCAATATGGCCACCTGAAGGCGTTCTGCGCACAGTAGGTGAGGGGGAACGCCCCCAGAAATGTCATTTCCTGCTCGTGTGATTGGCTGACTGAGTTTTGCAGAAGTCTGCGCTAAGATACAAGTCAGATTTTGGGCATCCCCTGCAAGAAAAATGTCATTTTTGGTGAGATACTCCCAAAGGGAATTCACTTCTAAAGGGATGCAGACCCCGCCGCTTTCCTCAGAGCCCTGCAGGTGCAGCAGCTGACTGATCATGATAAAGTCGCTCCCATTCACAGTCACTCTGCACAAGGACACAGAGAAACAAACAGATGTTTCTTCAGAATAACAAACGGTAGGAATCTGCAACAACGTTTGTTACAATCCCTGCGATGTGCATAGATCACCCGGGGGGGGGGGGGGGGGGGGGGGGGGGGGGGTGGGAGGAGGGGGAGGGGGGTTCTCAATAAAAGTGGAGTTGCTCTTTAAAGAAGAATTGCAGGTGTGGATCATTTATACTTAGTTACATTGTTCCAGCTTGGACCAACTAAGTATACACCGTACCTGGCTGTTGCCCCTGGAAGCGGACAATGACTTACTACTACACCGCTACTACTGTGATCTCCAATAACATTCAGGTCCTGCTCCAAGTAGCTGCTCTGCTGCGCTCTGAACACAGGAGGTCAACCAATCAGGAGAGGCACCATTCAGAGAATGCTTTGCATTTCCAGAGTGAATACAAACCGTTTTCTGATTGGACAAGGTGGAGAGGCAGGGCAGTGACATCACTTTTTTTCCCCTCGTCTATTCAGGGAATGCTTTGTATTCTTCCAGAAAATGCAAAGCGTTCCCTGAATGGCACCCGTGCTGCTGACCTCCTATGTTCACGGTGCAGCAGGACAGCCGCTTGGCGCGGGACCTGGAAGCAGCAGGCATGCAGGCATGGATAGTTAGTTCCCAGGCAGAGGTCGAGACAGGCAGCAGGCATGGATAGTTAGTTCCCAGGCAGAGGCTGAGACAGGGGGCAGGCAAGAATAGTTAGAGGTCGAGACAGGCAGCAGGCAAGAATAGTTGTTCCCAGGCAGAGGCTGAGACAGGGGGCAGGCAAGAATAGTTAGTTCCCAGGCAGAGGCTGAGACAGGGGGCAGGCAAGAATAGTTAGTTCCCCGGCAGAGGTCGAGACAGGCAGCAGGCAAGAATAGTTAATTCAAAGGCAGAGTTTGAGATAGGAAGCAGTCAAGGATAGTTAGTTTCCTGGCAGAGGTCAGGCCAGGGGTCAGGCAAGGATAATCAGATTTCAGGGAGAGGTCAGGCTAGGCAGCGGGCATGTATAGTTAGTTCCCAGGCAAAGGTCGAGACAGGCAGCAGGCAACGATAGTTCCTAGGCAGATGTCAGGCCAGGGGACAGGCAAGGATAATCAGATTATAGGCAGAGGTCAGGCCAGGCAGTGGGCATGGACAGTTAGTTCCCAGGCAGAGGTCGAGACAGGCAGCAGGCATGGACAGTTAGTTCCCAGGCAGAGGATAGTTGGTTTACAGACAGAAATCGAGGCAGTGAGAAGGCAAGGATAGTCAATTTTCAGGCAAAGGTTGTGTCAGGCAGCAAACAAGGATAGTGGGTAACTAGGCAGATGTCAAGATGGGGAGCAAGCACAAGCAGTTATAAGGTAGAGGTTGAGGAAGAAGCCAAGAATAGTTCCTTTCCAGGAAGAGGTCCAGACGGGCAGCAGGCAAGGATGGACAATTTTCAGGCAGAGGTCCAGAGAGGCAGCAGGCAAGGATAGATAGGTTTGCAGGCAAAGGACCAGACGGGCAGCAGGCAAGGATAGTCAATTTTCAAACAGAGGTTGTGACAGGCAGGCAAGGATAGTCAATTTTCAAACAGAGGTTGTGACAGGCAGCAGGCAAGGATTGTTGGGTTTGCCAACAGAGGTCCACACGGGCAGCAGGCAAGGATAGACAATTTTCAGGCAGAAATTGAAGCATGCAGCAGGCAAGTATACTCAGTTTCCAGGCAGAGGTCCAGACAGGCAGCAGGAAAGGATAGTTAGGTTGCAGGCAGAGGTCCAGACGGGCAGCAGATAAGGACAGTCAATTTTCAGTCAGAGGTCGTGACAGGCAGCAGGCAAGGATAGTCGGCTTTCCAAGCAGAGGTGAAGGCACCAGCAGAAATACGGGAGGGGAATAAATACCCTCCTAGACATGTGCGCACACCTCTACATATGGGGCACATGCCAACGCGCTCATGCTCTCGACGTGCGCCCAGCCACAGGCCACCGAGGTGGGATGAGGGTCCAAAATACGGGTCAGAAGGAAGTCGGGTCGGAAATGGAGGTTCAAGTTCAGGTCACTGGAGATCAGCCAGCACTGGGCCCAGGCCGATGGGCTCACAACTGACCGCGCCAACCTACAGGTAGGACCTCCAGTAGGACCTCCGGTGGGACCTTCCTGACGTTCATAGGTGACGTGAGATTTCATTGGTCAGGTCTAAGCTGAGTCATAAATACTCTGCTGTCGGTAGGAGGACTATCCCTTCAGAAGATGGGGGGGGGGTTGGTTCTTCTGGGGGTTCTATCGGATGATGGATCGGGAAGTCTCCGGCACAGAAGGGGTTACGGGTCCCGGCTCGGATGGGTCTGGCTGGGTAACACTGCTCCCCTTGTCCCGAATGAACTGAAGCGTTTCATGGAACGTTTTACCGCCCCCAGGTGTGCAGATGAGTTCATCGGCCCATAAACTAGCCAGGAGGAAGCAGACAGCCTTCCAGGCAGCGGGCCGGCCTGTGACGTCATCGTGCGGATCATACGCTCAGAGAGCATTGCAGGGATTCAACCAAAAGTCGCATAAATGTCCATTGATAGTCGCTCTATAAGGTGCCTGTTCCTGGCAGCGTTCGTGGTGCCAACCCCGCCCCACCCCCGCTAACCGAGACGTCTGTGCTGGGCACCGGCCCCAAACTTCTGCCTCTGCGACACTTAAAGGGCCACTAAACCACAACCTGCTATATAGAATGACATTCATAGATGTATATGGAAGGCTGAGGGCCGGGTCACACTCCATGCATTTCAGTTGCTTTTTCTTCTGCATCCAAAACGCACAGAAAGTTGGAGATCTGGTTGTCGGTGTCAGAGATCACATCAGCGCTTGCAGTTCCGGTGCGTTCCGGGTGCAGAAAGAAAAGTAGAACAGGCGGCATTTTTCCTGCACTGGAACACGGTAAAACGCACCAAAAATAACCAGAACGCACCGAAACACACCTGAACGTGGATAAACGCAAAACAACACACCAGAACGCACCGAAAAGCACTGAAACACGGAAAACTGCATGAAAAATTCATCAGAACGCACCAAAACGCACCGGAACACACATGTCTCTATTTAAATTGCAGAAAAAGAGAGGGGGGGGAAATGAACAGAAAAACATCAAAATCGCAGCGGAATGTGCAAAAAATGTGCATCTGGAATGCATTTCTATAGTGTGAACCAACGCACTGCAACATCCCACAACTTCACCACGACGCACCGCAACATCCCACAACTTCACCACGACGCACCGCAACATCCCACAACTTCACCACTTCACATCCCACAACGCACCGCAACACACCGCAACATCCCACAACTTCACCACGACGCACCGCAACATCCCACAACGCACCGCAACACACCACCGCAACATCCCACAACTTCACCACGACGCACCGCAACATCCCACAACTTCACCACAACGCACCGCAACACACCGCAACATCCCACAACTTCACCACGACGCACCGCAACATCCCACAACGCACCGCAACACACCCCACCAACATCCCACAACTTCACCACGACGCACCGCAACATCCCACAATGCACCGCAACACACCGCAACATCCCACAATGCACCGCAACCCACCGCAACATCCCACAACGCACCGCAACACACCGCACAATCCCACAACTTCACCACCGCAACATTCACCACGACACCGCAACATCCCACAACGCACCGCGACACCCCCAACGCCGCAACATCCCACAACTTCACCACGCACATCACCGCAACATCCCACAATGCACCGCAACACACCGCAACATCCCACAACTTCACCACCCGCACCGCAACATCCCACAACGCACCGCAACACACCGCAACATCCCACAACGCACCGCAACACACCGCAACATCCCACAACGCACCGCAACACACCGCAACATCCCACACACCGCAACACACCACAACACAACGCACCGCAACACACCACAACGTCCCACAACGCACCGCAACACACCACACAACGTCCCACAACGCACCGCAACCACCCACAACGTCCCACAACACCGCCCACACACCGCACGTCCCACAACGCACCGCCACACCACAACGTCCCACAACGCACCGCAACGTCCCACAACGCACCGCAACGTCTCCTGTACTGTGTCCGCAGTCTCTGACCGTCTCCTGTAACGCAGTCTCGGTCGTCCCTGTACTGTGTCTGCAGTCTCAACGTCGTCCCTGTACTGTGTCCGCAGTCAACACCTCCTGTACTGTGTCAACAGTCTCTGGTCACCCTCCTGTACCCGCAGTCTCTGTCATCTCCTGTACTGTAGTCTCTGGTCATCTCCTGTACTGTGTCTGCAGTCTCTGGTCATCTCCTGTACTGTGTCCGCAGTCTCTGGTCATCTCCTGTACTGTGTCTGCAGTCTCTGGTCACCTCCTGTACTGTGTCCGCAGTCTCCGGTCATCTCCTGTACTGTGTCTGCAGTCTCTGACCATCTCCTGTACTGTGTCTGCAGTCTCTGGTCATCTCCTGTACTGTGTCTGCAGTCTCTGGTCATCTCCTGTACTGTGTCTGCAGTCTCTGGTCGTCTCCTGTACTGTGTCTGCAGTCTCTGACCATCTCCTGTACTGTGTCTGCAGTCTCTGACCATCTCCTGTACTATGTCTGCAGTCTCTGGTCATCTCCTGTACTATGTCTGCAGTCTCTGACCATCTCCTGTACTGTGTCTGCAGTCTCTGGTCATCTCCTGTACTGTGTCTGCAGTCTCTGACATCTCCTGTACTGTGTCTGCAGTCTCTGGTCATCTCCTGTACTGTGTCTGCAGTCTCTGGTCATCTCCTGTACTGTGTCTGCAGTCTCTGGTCATCTCCTGTACTATGTCTGCAGTCTCTGGTCATCTCCTGTACGGTGTCCGCAGTCTCTGACATCTCCTGTACTATGTCTGCAGTCTCTGGTCATCTCCTGTACTGTCCGCAGTCTCTGGTCATCTCCTGTACTGTCCGCAGTCTCTGGTCATCTCCTGTACTGTGTCCGCAGTCTCTGGTCATCTCCAGTACTGTCCGCAGTCTCTGGTCATCTCCTGTACTATGTCCGCAGTCTCTGGTCATCTCCTGTACTGTGTCCGCAGTCTCTGGTCATCTCCTGTACTGTGTCCGCAGTCTCTGGTCATCTCCTGTACTGTGTCTGCAGTCTCTGACCATCTCCTGTACTGTGTCTGCAGTCTCTGGTCCATCTCCTGTACTGTGTCTGCAGTCTCTGACCCTCTCCTGTACTGTGTCTGCAGTCTCTGACCCTCTCCTGTACTATGTCTGCAGTCTCTGGTCATCTCCTGTACTATGTCTGCAGTCTCTGGTCATCTCCTGTACTGTGTCTGCAGTCTCTGGTCATCCCTCCCTGTACTATGTCCGCAGTCTCTGGTCATCTCCTGTACTGTGTCTGCAGTCTCTGGTCATCCCCTGTACTGTCTGCAGTCTCTGACCGTCTCCTGTACTATGTCTGCAGTCTCTGACCCTCTCCTGTACTATGTCCGCAGTCTCTGACCCTCTCCTGTTACATGGCCTTGGTTTGGCTTTAGAACAATGTAACTCCAGGACAATGTTTCATCTGGATGACAATGTAAAGCTCCTCTCATCACTCCCCCGCCGAGGGTTAATGTCATTTGTAGAATATGGTGATGATTGTTGATTGCAGACAATGCAAGGGTACCGCCATCTCACCGATCGTCATAGCAACATTTGTGCCTCCCCCACACTAACCTGACAATGTGTACATCTCCCCGGTATAGGGATCTCTCCACGTCTTCTGTCTGCTCTACAGATGGGGCTCATTCTCCTCCCCGCAGCCCAGCCAGACCAGCTCTGACCAATCACCATCATCCCTCCTCATCAGCCGAAAACACAGGATGCCCCAATCAGGGAAACTAATGAGGATTAACGAACAATTATCACGTTACAGCTAATTATTGCTTTTAATGAGACGTCTGCAACTCCCCATCAGCATGTTACTCATGGCACATTGGCTGCCATCGCCTCTCTGAGAGCCAATTGTCTCTAGATGCAGGATTATCCGGCAGGGTGAGTTACAATGTACAGTCTGATCAGTGGGGGAGGGGAGACTGAGGAAATGCTTCATCCTGCCTGCAGCAGACTAATGACATCATCTCAGCCAAGCAAAGTCACTGATTGGAACTTGATAAAAGGTGGAGATTTAACTTTTATTGTGACATGTCATTACTGACAGATCATCTTCAAATCCTCCCTCTGGCTCCTCCTCTCTAGTTTTTCACAGGTATACCAGCTCCTCCCCTTCAGTCTTGCACAGGTGTACCGGCTCCTCCCCTTCAGTCTTGCACAGGTATACCAGCTCCTCCCCTTCAGTCTTGCACAGATGTTCGGCTCCTCCCCTTCAGTCTTGCACAGGTGTACCGGCTCCTCCCCTTCAGTCTTGCACAGATGTACCGGCTCCTCCCCTTCAGTCTTACACAGGTGTATTGGCTCCTCCCCTTCAGTCTTGCACAGATATACCGGCTCCTCCCCTTCAGTCTTGCAGCGGTGTTCTGGCTCCTCCCCTTCAGTCTTGCACAGATGTACGGCTCCTCCCCTTCAGTCTTGCACAGGTGTAACGGCTCTTCCCCCCCAGTCTGGCACAGGTGTACCGGCTCCTCCCCTCCTCCAGCTTGCACAGGTGTATCAGCTCCCCTCCAGTCTTGCACAGGTGTATCAGCTCCTCCCCTTCAGTCTTGCACAGGTGTATGGGCTCCTCCCCTTGAGCCAAAACACAGGTGTATTGGCTCCTCCCCTCCAGTCTTGCACAGGTGTCCGGCTCTTCCCCTTCAGTCTTGCACAGGTGTCCGGCTCCTCCCCTTCAGTCTTGCACAGGTGTACCGGCTCCTCCCCTTCAGTCTTGCACAGGTGTACCGGCTCCTCCCCTTCAGTCTTGTACAGGTGTACCGGCTCCTCCCCTTCAGTCTTGCACAGGTGTACAGGCTCCTCCCCTTCAGTCTTGCACAGGTGTACCCGCTTCCTCCCCTCAGTCTTGCACAGGTGTACCCGCTTCCTCCCCTTCAGTCTTGCACAGGTGTACTGGCTCCTCCCCTTCAGTCTTGCACAGGTGTACCCGCTCCTCCCCTTCAGTCTTGCACAGGTGTACCCGCTCCTCCCCTTCAGTCTTGCACAGGTGTACCCGTTTGCACAGGTGTACCCGTCCCCCCTTCAGTCTTGCACAGGTGTACCCGCTCCTCCCCTTCAGTCTTGCTCCTCCCCTTCACAGGTGTACCGGCTCCTCCCCTTCAGTCTTGCACAGGTGTACCGGCTCCTCCCCTTCAGTCTTGCACAGGTGTACCGGCTCCTCCCCTTCAGTCTTGCACAGGTGTACCCGTTCCTCCCCTTCAGTCTTGCACAGGTGTACCCTTCCTCCCCTTCAGTCTTGCACAGGTGTACTGGCTCCTCCCCTGGACTGAAACGGCTTCTCTGGTTTCTGAGCTTCTCACAATGTGCATTAGAAGCTACAGTAAATCAGAGAGAGCTCCGCCTCATTTCCTCACTGGAAGACGTCCAGCATCATCCTCCACAGCCTGATTGTCCCTGGCCACGCCCCTTGCATTCATTGTATTTCTGTACTTTTAATCATTGAGGCTCAGTATCACTTGTGGGCGTTACCTATGCAAATACAGCCTGACTAGGAACACCCACCCATCAAGGCATTTTTTTCACATTTGCATAACTCCTCCCAAACGCCAGCCCACTGCTTGAATCAAGACTGAGGGGCCCTGGAGAGGGGGAAGTAGTGAGGGGTGGTATGATGTTTTCAGGAAGCCATGTACAGCACCCTGCCAGCTCCTTCCACCAGCCATGATCTGCCTGCATTGCATAGAGAAGCACAAAGACCCAGTGATGGACAGGTTTTATTTAATAATTTTATTAAAAAGTTGATGAGGGGGAGGGAGGAACCAAGGAAGGAAAATTAAATGCAGATGAAACTTCAGCTTTGATGCTAAAATCTAAAGGTCATTTCCGTCATAGACGGCACATAGACTGCATGGATGGGATACATACACTTGCAGGTGCATGCAGCAAAGACGTCTGTTATTTCATTAGGAAAGGGTTAGACAGGTCCTCCAAGGAAAGGGTTAGACTGGTCCTCCAAGGAAAGGGTTAGACAGGTCATCATAGGCCAGGGTTAGATGGGTCCTCTTATCTAAGAGTTGGACAGGTCCTGTTAGGAAAGGGTTAGACAGGTACTCTTAAAATAGAATTAGATAGGTCCTCTTAGGATAAGGATGGACAAGTCCTCTTAGGAGAGGGTTAGAAGGTCCTCTTAAAAAAGAGTTAGACAGGTCCTCTTAGGAAAGGGTTTAATCAGGTCCTCTTAGGAGATGGTTAGGCAGGTCCTCGTAGAAAGAATTAAACAGGTCCTCTTAAGACGGTTGAACAGGTCTACTTAGGAGAGTGATAAACCGGTCCTCTTAGGAGAGGGTTAGACAGGTCCTACTAGGAAAGGGTTAGACAGGTCCTCTTAGAAAGTGTTAGACAGGTCCTCTTAGGAGAGGGTTAGACGGGTCCTCTTAAGAAAGGTTTAGACAGGTCCTCTTAGGAGAGGGTTAAACAGGTCCTCTTAGAAAGGGTTAGACAGGTCCTCTTAGTAGATGATTAGACAGGTCCTCTTAGAAAGATTTAGACAGGTCCTCTTAAGACAGTGGGACAGGTCCTCTTAGGAGAGTGATACACAGATCCTCTTAGGAGAGTGATACACAGGTCCTCTTAGGAGAGAGTAGACAGATCCTCCTAGGAGGGGGTTGGTCGGGTCCTCCTAGGAGAGGGTAGACAGGTCCTCCTAGGAGAGGGTTGGACGGGTCCTCCTAGGAGAGGGTAGACAGGTCCTCTTAGGAGAGGGTTGGATGGGTCCTCCTAGGAGAGGGTAGACAGGTCCTCTAGGAGAGGGTAGACAGGTACTCCTAGGAGAGGGTTTTATGGGTCCTCCTAGGAGAGGGTAGACAGGTCCTCCTAGGAGAGGGTTGGACGGGTCCTCTTAGGAGAGAGTAGATAGGTCCTCCTAGGAGAGGGTAGACAGGTCCTCTTAGGAGAGAGTAGACAGGTCCTCCTAGGAGAGAGTTGGACGGGTCCTCCTAGGAGAGGGTAGACAGGTCCTCCTAGGAGAGGGTAGACAGGTCCTCTTAGGATAGGGTAGACAGGTCCTCTTAGGAGAGGGTAGAAAGGTCCTCTTAGGAGAGGGTAGACAGGTCCTCCTAGGAGAGAGTAGACAGGTCCTCCTAGGGGAGGGTAGACAGGTCCTCTTAGGGGAGGGTAGACAGGTCCTCCTAGGAGAGAGTAGACAGGTCCTCCTAGGAGAGGGTAGACAGGTCCTCTTAGGGGAGGGTAGACAGGTCCTCTTAGGAGAGGGTAGACAGGTCCTCCTAGGAGAGAGACAGGTAGACAGGTCCTCCTAGGAGAGGGTTGGACGGGTCCTCCTAGGAGAGGGTAGACAGGTCCTCTTAGGAGAGGGTTGGATGGGTCTTCCTAGGAGAGGGTAGACAGGTCCTCTTAGGATAGGGTAGACAGGTCCTCTTAGGAGAGGGTAGAAAGGTCCTCTTAGGAGAGGGTAGACAGGTCCTCCTAGGAGAGAGTAGACAGGTCCTCCTAGGGGAGGGTAGACAGGTCCTCTTAGGGGAGGGTAGACAGGTCCTCCTAGGAGAGAGTAGACAGGTCCTCCTAGGAGAGGGGTAGACAGGTCCTCTTAGGGGAGGGTAGACAGGTCCTCTTAGGAGAGGGTAGACAGGTCCTCCTAGGAGAGAGTAGACAGGTCCTCCTAGGAGAGGGTTGGACGGGTCCTCCTAGGAGAGGGTAGACAGGTCCTCTTAGGAGAGGGTTGGATGGGTCTTCCTAGGAGAGGGTAGACAGGTCCTCCTAGGAGAGGGTTGGACGGGTCCTCCTAGGAGAGGGTAGACAGGTCCTCTTAGGAGAGAGGGTTGGATGGGTCTTCCTAGGAGAGGGTAGACAGGTCCTCTTAGGAGAGGGTTGGACGGGTCCTCCTAGGAGAGGGTAGACAGGTCCTCTTAGGAGAGGGTAGACAGGTCCTCCTAGGAGAGGGTTGGACGGATCCTTCTAGGAGAGAGTAGACAGGTCCTCTTAGGAGAGGGTAGACAGGTACTCCTAGGAGAGAGTAGACAGGTCCTCCTAGGAGAGGGTAGACAGGTCCTCTTAGGAGAGGGTAGACAGGTCCTCCTAGGAGAGGGTAGACAGGTCCTCCTAGGAGAGAGTAGACAGGTCCTCCTAGGAGAGGGTAGACAGGTCCTCTTAGGAGAGGGTAGACAGGTCCTCCTAGGAGAGGGTAGACAGGTCCTCCTAGGAGAGGGTTGGACGGATCCTTCTAGGAGAGGGTAGACAGGTCCTCCTAGGAGAGGGTAGACAGGTCCTCTTAGGAGAGGGTAGACAGGTCCTCTTAGGAGAGGGTAGACAGGTCCTCCTAGGAGAGGGTAGACAGGTCCTCCTAGGAGAGGGTAGACAGGTCCTCTTAGGAGAGGGTAGACAGGTCCTCCTAGGAGAGGGTTGGACGGATCCTTCTAGGAGAGGGTAGACAGGTCCCCCTAGGAGAGAGTAGACAGGTCCTCTTAGGAGAGGGTAGACAGGTACTCCTAGGAGAGAGTAGACAGGTCCTCCTAGGAGAGGGTAGACAGGTCCTCTTAGGAGAGGGTAGACAGGTCCTCCTAGGAGAGGGTAGACAGGTCCTCCTAGGAGAGGGTAGACAAGTCCTCTTAGGGGAGGGTAGACAGGTCCTCCTAGGAGAGAGTAGACAGGTCCTCCTAGGAGAGGGTTGGACGGGTCCTCCTAGGAGAGGGTTGACAGGTCCTCTTAGGAGAGGGTTGGATGGGTCTTCCTAGGAGAGGGTAGACAGGTCCTCCTAGGAGAGGGTTGGACGGGTCCTCCTAGGAGAGGGTAGACAGGTCCTTTTAGGAGAGGGTAGACAGGTCCTCCTAGGAGAGAGTAGACAGGTCCTCCTAGGAGAGGGTAGACAGGTCCTCCTAGGAGAGGGTAGACAGGTCCTCCTAGGAGAGGGTAGACAGGTCCAGGTCCTCCTAGGAGAGGGTAGACAGGTCCTCTTAGGAGAGAGTAGACAGGTCCTCCTAGGAGAGAGTAGACAGGTCCTCCTAGGAGAGAATAGACAGGTCCTCCTAGGAGAGGGTTAGACAGGTCCTCCTAGGAGAGGGTAGACAAGTCCTCTTAGGGGAGGGTAGACAGGTTCTCTTAGGAGAGGGTAGACAGGTCCTCCTAGGAGAGGGTAGACAGGTCCTCCTAGGAGAGAATAGACAGGTCCTCCTAGGAGAGGGTTGGACAGGTCCTCCTAGGAGAGGGTTGGATGGTCCTCCTAGGAGAGAGGTAGACAGGTTCTCCTAGTAGAGGGTAGACAGGTCTTCTTAGGAGAGGGTAGACAGGTCCTCCTAGGAGAGGGTTGGATGGTCCTCCTAGGAGAGGGTTGGATGGGTCCTCCTAGGAGAAGGTAGACAGGTCCTCCTAGGAGAGGGTAGACAGGTCCTCCTAGGAGAGGGTAGACAGGTCCTCCTAGGAGAGAGTAGACAGGTCCTCCTAGGAGAGGTAGACAGGTCCTCCTAGGAGAGGGTAGACAGGTCCTCCTAGGAGAGGGTAGACAGGTCCTCCTAGGAGAGGGTAGACAGGTCCTCTTAGGAGAGGGTTGGACAGGTCCTCCTAGGAGAGGGTAGACAGGTCCTCCTAGGAGAGGGTAGACAGGTCCTCTTAGGAGAGGGTTGGATGGGTCCTCCTAGGATAGGGTAGACAGGTCCTCCTAGGAGAGGGTAGACAGGTCCTCTTTTCCTCTGGGAAGGTGTGCAGACTCGGGAAGCCAAGCGCAGAGATTTTTTGGTCACAAAATGCAGTGAAATGATTTCAGCGATTTTAGGAAACGACAAATTTCTGCAATTACATAACGATTTCCCGTTAGATAAAGCCGCCTGTCAGTCACCCCGCCGTGCGCTGCTCCCGCTGGCGCTCCCTCTCCTCTCCTGACCCCCGCAGCGGCACGGATCTGAAGATGGCGGGTGTGAGGTGACCTCAGTCTCGGAGCGCTGGCCCAGGCGCTCGCTCTGCTTGTAAATGTAATAAATTCATCTCCTAAACTCTGCAACCTTCTCCCGGATCCCGATGTGTGACCACGGCGTCCCCGATCCACGGCGTCCCCGATCCACGGCGTCCCCGATCCACGGCGTCCCTGATCCATGGCGTCCCGATCCACGGCGGGCCACCTGCGCTGCGCAAATCAAATTCTGGCAAACTATGAGCCACGGCACAACATCAGCCATGATACCCGAGAGCACGGCATCCCACCCCGAGCCGAAGGGCTCGCTGCAAATAAAGTGTTCTACCTACCACACACCTACCAATCTGATTGTACAATCTCTGCCCAATCCCCTTCACCGGGCGCACACGC